AGGGGTCCCTAGACCGTTGAATACAGAAGTTTTTCGCCGAGTTAGAGACATAGACATGTTACTCGTCCGTAAAAAGGAGAATATGGGGCTGTAAAATTTGGTCGAACAGAGTATTCGTTTGCCAGATAATGATTATCCAGGATCATGTGGTGGTCTTTTTCCGGCTTTACAGGCGCAAATGATCGACCTTAACGGGATCAGGCTTCCAAGGAAAATCACACGATACGGTACACTTTTTAATTACACAATCCAGGATCATGATCTTGGCATCCGTCACTATGAATGACATTCCGCCACCTTTGAAATATAGAAGCAGGTACCGAACTAGCCAAACGTATGGCTTGCAAGTCAACAAAGAAATCATTTCCGTTCGATACATAATAACGAGTTGGGCTCTAAATTTCGGCGTCTAATGCAGACTTTGCAAGCGTTGGCAACATGGAGGCATCGAAATATCTCGCATAGCGGTGAAAAGCGAACGTGGATTTATGGATAGGTATTGGAGGCTGAGGAGGCTTTAACGTCAAGCTCACTGCCTCTCATGTGGAGAGGCAAGATGCCATCGTTCATATGCATCTTTTCTGAAAAGAGAGTCTAGACGAGGTGTCACCTGGAATGCGTGCGGTAGCCCCTCCAAGCTAAATTGCCTGGGTTAAAACTGGGTTCACCATGAGGAAAATTTGAAGGGTGATCTGACCGTCTCAAGTATCTTCATCAGGGTCTAGAACATCATACCCGACAACCGGAGTATGAATTCAAGCGTTTCATCCGGCATTGACGTGAAATTGTACACTTCAACGTACAATCCGCTGAAAACGTCATGGTGTTTGACTCCTGTTCGATCCTCATTCAATCTCGGCAACTCGTTGAACTTCCAATATGTTTAGTAACAGTATTCCTAAACTTCTCGCCTATTGTCTCACCCTTTATTTGTCCGTTGTGAGCGCGCAAATTGCGACTTTGGATCAGTTCTTCAATAGAACGACCTTCCCAAACGGAAAAGCCGAGAACGTTACCATATACCTGAACGAAGCCGTTGATCTCGCCAAGACCTGGTCTCTCTATCAGTACTTCCAGGATTTCTGCATCACTCAGCAGGTGTACCCTTCACTATTCCGATTTCCCGTCGGGTTTGTCGAGCCGTTCTCACCATTTGACCGGCTCAACTTTGTCGGTCACAACTTCGTGTCTGCCTGGGCATATGATACCGGCGACGGTATCGTTCTGATCGATGCTCTCGACAAGCCGGAAGAAATCAATGCCATACTGATCCCCGGCCTTCAGAAGTTCGGCTTCAAGAGGTCTGATATCAAACACTGCATTATCACCCGTGAGCATGTCGACCATGACGGTGGCGCCAAATATCTCAAAGACACCTTTAACACCACACTTTGGGCTTCCGAGGCTGCCTAGACATCCATGGCTGCTCTCGCCAGCACAATTCCAACACCGCCTATGAGAGACCAGATCCTCATCGACAAACAGGAGCTCACTGTCGGCAACGTCACATTCATGTCCATACTCACTCCTGGTCATTCCCCTGGCAACCTGTCCCTCGTCTTCCCCGTCTTTGAACAGGGCGTTCCTCATATCGCTGGCTTGAATGGCGGCACTGGCATCCCCGCACCCAAGGTTGATAGAGAGAAGAAGATTGTGTCCCAGAATCATCTTGGCAATGTGGCCAAGATGGAAGGGCGTTGACACGCTAATATCGAGCCACCAAATTGCCGACCACGCCTTGTTCCAAGCCGACCTTCTAAGTCATCGCCAGCCTGATGCAGCCAATCCCTTCGTGGTTGGCATCGATGATGTTCAGAATTACATGAAATTCAACGCGCTCTGCACCAATGTGATTGCTGCGCGACAGGGCATGGATTTAGATGTCTGAGGTGCTGGCTACATAGCGATATAGAACAATCAGCAGCCTGTTCTTCTGATTACACGATAGTGATACGATAGTCCTATCGACTCAGCCACGATGTTTAAGCAGCTGGATGTTTGTTTTTAACGGAGTCTCCATTCCATATAGGCCAGTGCCAGCAAGAGACGATCAATTGCGTACGCAATGTCTAGAATGCATGTAGATCATAGATAGTTTCTAAAATCAATGATCGAGAGGGAAAGGAATACTTCACGCTCTCATTAAGTTGACACTAGGCTAGTAAGGTCAATGAGCCTCGAGTTGCGGCTTGTGCAAATAGCAAAACTCTTCGTCCAAGTCTACCGGTGAACCCTTGTCTTTCGTTAACTTCACGACCAGGTTGTCTTCGTATGCAGAACGACATGTTATTATTGCGGGTCTATGATTGTGTGAGGAGCGACCACACATAACTGTAGTCGGGAAATCTCGATCAACCTAAGCATGACAGGAAGCAAATCCACTCCGTCTCTGGACCAGCTACTAGCTACACTGATTTTGAGGATGCAGAACCTTGATTACAAGTAGCAGTGCACTTATTGTGGCTCAAGATGCGGTCTCAAGCATTTTCTTAACGGGTGCCGTCTCCCACAGCAGTCCCAATGGCTGCATTGAAAAGCTGCGCATTCAGAAGGTACGCCGGCGCATACTGAGTATACCAATCCGACATCTTCGCAACACCCGGAGGACCGCGCCAATCTTTGAAAAGATCAGCTGCGATGCTGAACAGACCTGCTAGGTGCACACCCGCTGCCTGCATGCGAGAGTTGGATACATCGCGGATAAGCTCTGAGGTAGTGCCAGATGCTTCGACATTAGCCCAGACGCTATAACCTTCTTCACGGAGAGACAGAGACAGGAAAGTAACGCCTGATCAATGATTCAGTAAGAACGCTGTATTTACCTTGAGAGTTATGAAAATACTTACAAACATCGGTCACAATACCGGCAACGATCATCTGGTTACGACCAGTTGCCTTGACGGCATCCCTGAATTCGGCATTGTCCCACGCATTGATCTCACCGGGACGCTTGATGACAGGGACGTCCGGGTACATGTCAAGGATCTCCCTTGGAAGAGGACCATTAGGACCTACCACTCGTTAGTAACAGTCGATAAACCCGAAGCCTCGTAACAGTCAGATTCAACCTTCTTCCTGAGATGTGGTAATAATGACCGGTAGGTCGTAAAGCTTCCCGAGGGCTGCATGAGCAATCACGTTTCTGTAGAAAAGTTGGCCATCGAAGTCTCGGGCCAAGTTGAACAGCCCAACTTGGTGGTCGACGATCAAGAGAACCTGTACAATGTATCAATAATGCGGTCTAGAACCCATTGACTACTAATGAACGAACCGAGTCATTCTGACTAAGCCTCTCGAAGGGGACAGCTGCTTCGAATTAGCACATGCCAAGAAAAATATGTTCGTAGAATCCTCACCATCAGCTCTGGCAAAGCTGGAAACAGCGCTGATCAGAAGCAGAAGGCTACAGAAAGATAGTAGAGCCATTGTATAGACGGTTTGTGATCCTAATTTTTGAAAAGCGTTCTGAAGTGTCGTTGGGGAAGGTAAAGAGAATGCTGTGCGTTGACAATTTTACGGCTCATGTCCAGGAAGCAACCACCCATTTATACGAACAGAATCTTTCGTCGATTGTGATATACTAAATCCTCCTTGAGATCAGCCTAGCGCTACCCATTGCTCACGATAGACCAGAAACGCAATGGAATCACGTTTGGACTCTTGCATTTCCAAAACTTTTGTCATCATGGATTCTTGAGTTTGTAAGACGGAAATTTAGGCTCAACGCAAAGAGCGGGCAAGCGTTTTTCATCATGACACGCTACCAAGAAGGCTAGGGTCAGTCAGCTAGACGGTATGACCCACACTGCTTTCGCCATATCCCATGGGACCCTCATTCGATACGCCTTCACGATGAACCATTGGGAAACCATCATGTAAGCGGCCCTACGGACTCCGAGGGCGAGACTTCTCGGACTAGTTTACGGGCCAAGACTTGGATCCTCAAGACATGAACTAGATAAGTGGATATACATATATGGAGCCACATAGATATGTTCATAAGTACATCTTTTCACACCATATACATGTAGGTGTAGCATGCAAATCTTTTTGATTCGTAGTAATTGCAAGGAGAAGAAATGGGTAAGATGTAAGCAGAGGCATGCTATTCTGGCCGGCTTGATTCACTACCCTTTCCTGCCTACCTGATTTTTCCAAAGATAACCATTCAAGACGACACGTGAAGAGACAGGTTAAGATGCGTTCCATCAACAGCCAACCTTATCCACCAAGAGCGCAAAGTTTTCGTATGAAGATTATTTTCTCGTTTTTGGCCAAGAATACACTCACCTGCGCTGTCACCACAACTCAACTGAAATGCCATTGAGTCCGAGAGGATTTGATTAATACATTTCGCGGAACCTTCCGTAGTTGTCTTCGTTCTTTTATGATCGATATCTGGGGACTGGGTGCCGGAGATCACCCAGGCTAGCTGATCGCGCACCCAAGACCCAGGTTTGCTCCTTCGAGATATTTCTCTGTTATGCAGACGATTCGGGTGTAAAGTTGCGGCAAAAGACTAATATCATGCCAAGCACAGTATCCACCGTGTATGGCATCATTCTAAAGTGCTGAGCCACGGAGCCTGTGGATTATTAGGATAAGCAATCGGTAGATTCAAGATTGCAGCAGAACGTAAGAGACTTCGTCGTTATTCGCCATAGCCCTGAACAATCGTTGTCAGCCTGACAAATTGGCGCGCGGGGTGCACCAACATGAAAGCCGGCACTTTGACCAAGCGCTCGTCTCTAAAGACGCTGTGGGTCTCAACCCTTCCACACCCGCGCGGGGGGTCCGGATCCATACATTACATGAGCTACGGGCGGAGGGGGGAAACAGGGTGAAAACAAACCATCAAGTCAAACTGTACATTATCCTGATGCAGGTGTGAAGGAGACATTTGTCAAAATATCAAGCTATAAAGTGGAGATATCTATTGATTCAACGTCCCGTACTACGAGGTCTTGGTAGCAGTCTTTAATTTCTGTAAACTCAGTGACCTAGTTCCTTCGCTCGTTGCACCGCCGGTCAACATGAGAACCAAAGTCGTCGCAGACCTCTCTTCCAAGAGCAATAAGGTTTTCAATGGCCCAGAGACGCTTGTTAGAGAAGATGAACATCCCTCCTGGGACGAAAGCAAAGTTGCTTGTGTAGTCGTTGGTGAAAATCTTTCCCAGCAGAACTCCCGAAGAGTCCCATGCGTGGACTCCGTCGCCACAGGACGCCCAAACATTTCCCTCGATATCTGTGTGTAATCCATCGGGGATTCCATTATCAGCGTAGGCGAGGACCCTTTTGTTCGTCAAGCTCCTTTTCCGATTGACGACATCAAAGGCGTAGACTGTCGCCGGACCTGTAGGAGTCAATCTTGTCGTAGCAGCGCCTGTGTCAGAGACGTACAGCGTCTTGTAATCCGGCGAGAACTCGATCCCATTCGGCTGTTGAAGGCCATCTGCTACAACCTGGATACTTTTACTGTCCATATCATACCGATAGACTTGCGTAGGCATTTGAGGGCTGGGGCGGAAGCCATTGAAGTAGGCGTATGTAGCGTCGGTAAACCAGAGGTCACCGGTCTCCGGGTGCTGACGGACGTCATTTATAGACGTGAAGTTCCGGTTGAAGAAACTTGAGAAAAGCGTTGTTGTTTGGTTGGCATCAGGGTCCAGAGAGACTAGCTTGGAATAATTATTCGTGTCGCCCTGATCACACCAAACTTGCAAAGTCTGGTCTGACCCCATATACCTTCCTCCTCTATTGGCACGAAATACTGATCCGCCATTGGGCATGCTCAAGCTGACGTACCGCTGACTTCGAATTGAAAGGTCGTCGAGAGATAGTAAGTCAACATACCCACTTCCTGGCACCCCCCTGTTTCTGGCACCACAAAAACGATGGGATCACAACCCAACCTCCTCATTACTATTAACTATTGATCCTCAACCACACCCACTACAATACAGCTGCCAGCCTCACTAGGGCATTCAGAGTCGCTGGATTCAGCCGTGATAACCTCCTTTTCACCCGCTTCGATTTGAGCCCGATGGATATCCCTGATGTTCGCGAACTTCGTATTGGGATCG